TCATTAGAAATTGATCCAAATAATGTAATTGCATTAATAAACCGTGGAGCAACTTATTACATGATGGACAGATACAAAGAATCACTAGCAGATTTAAATAAATCACTAGAAATTGATTCAGATAATCCATTTGCATTAGCAAACCGTGGAGCAACTTATCGCATGATGAACAGATACGAAAAATCACTAGCAGATTTAAATAAATCCCTAGAAATTGATTCAGATAATGCCTTTGCATTATCAGACCGTGGAGCAATTTATCGCATGATGAACAGATACGAAGAATCACTAACAGATTTAAATAAATCACTGGAAATTGATTCAGATAATGCATTTACATTAGCAAACCGTGGAGAAACTTATCGCATGATGAATAAATACGAGGAATCACTAACAGATTTAAATAAATCATTAGAACTTAATCCAAATAATGCAATTGCATTAGCAAACCGTGGAGCAACTTATCGCACGATGGACAGATACGAAGAATCACTAGCAGATTTAAATAAATCATTAGAAATTAATCCAAATGATGCATTTGCATTAGCAAACCGTGGAGCAACTTATCGCATTATGAACAAATACGAAGAATCACTAGCAGATTTAAATAAATCATTAGAAATTAATCCAACTAGTGCATTTGCATTAGCAAACCATGGAGCAACTTATCGCATGATGAACGAATACGACAAATCAATAGCAGATTTAAATAAATCATTAGAAATTAATCCAACTAGTGCATTTGCTTTAGATAATCGTGAAAAGGTTTATAAACTATTAAATAAAAGATCTAGATTTAAGTTTTGGTGATATAACAGTTATTTGCATATTTTATGTATATTAAATCTAAAAATATTTGTTTTTCGACATTTGAAGACTTGGATTATTTTCTTTTTGACTTATGTTTTCTAATAATATTATACTGTATATGAAAACTTCTAAACAACATGTATAAAAAATGGTTACTCTTAATACAGTTTCGACAAATATTAATAAAATCTTTGGTTATTTTGAATAATAACTTGTGTTATTTTAAACCAGAAATCAATTCTTGTTCATATTGAACTTTTTTCTGCTCGTGTTAATGTATTTATTATGAAAGCTTGTCTTATATTCGAAGCTTTTTTTGTTAGCTCTGTTGGTTGACAAGAATGTTCTTCACCATAAATTTTCGTACAGACTAAACACACCACGCATACTGGACTTGCATCTCAATTTGGATGCGTTGACAATGTAGCATCGTTCAGAATACAATTGAAACAAAATATTGATGTATATAATTATCGAATTTGCAAATAATCATTCGCAAATTTTTTTACAAGATGTCCCAAAATTAAAGAGAACAGCTGTAAATACTGTAATGGGTACTGATTATAACTTTTCGGATCGGTCGCCTTACGCCGGAAATCATAAGCTCATGCTCTTTCTAAGCTTTATTTAAAGCAAATCCTGTTATGAAAGGGTACGGCAATTTTCAATTTAAGCGAAATGGCATGATTTTTTTTTTGGCAATTCTTATAATAGGCATATCAAGAGAACGCTTGTTTTTTGAGCACAGAAAATGTTGAGTGCGAAGAAAACAACTTTATGAAATCTAAAGTTATTTGACAGAATGATATTTCAAACCGTAATACGTATGTAAGCAATTGAAAAGACAATTGATTTTATTATTCCCGATATTTAGATTAATATAAACAATATATGCGCATAATTCAGTAATTGACAAATACAATGCCACACTAGATTTTCTTTTAATTGTTGTTTTGATTTTAAAAACATTCGAATATTCGGTCAATAGTGCCCAAAATCTAAAGTTTGTGACCAAACGATGTTCGAATCTCATCTCATCGGATCGATCTCCATTTATGGTCTTACATATATATATTTAGACATCATTTTCTTGAAGATTATATGTGGCGCCATAATTAAGATATACAATGGTGAAATGACAATATTTGGTTTTTGAACAAATAATATCACTATTTTTAACAAAAAAAACATCATCACTATTTTTAAATTGATGACGTTCTATGTTTATTAAGTATGGATCTGAACGGCCGGATGATCCCAATTCTACAAACGTTAATTAATTATTTTTAGACAATAAAATTGAGAATATCGGTTATCCGACAATACTTAAATGTCATCAATATCAGAAATGACATACTGAAAGAAAAAACGATTTACTATTATTCAATATAGATTGTAGTAAAAAATATGTATATGCTGAATAATACGATTATCTAATTATTTGACAGGAAAATCTATAAGATGCAATTCATGATTATATTTTGAAAATTGATCATTGACCTGATTGTCATCATACGATAAACACCACTCATCTGAATCCCACGACTCATCATTTTATATACATAAACTTATTTGAAAACAATATCAGATCCTCTCTTATTAACAATTGATAAATAAGTGTTCCACCCTAAAGCAACCATGTTAACAACTAATAACCTATGATTCAATGGGACAAAATAAAAATTTAGTAATTGTACAGTTGGCCATAACTTATAGTTATTTTTAAGAGTTGGTAAATAAACCTTTTAAATTTAAAAAATAAAAAATAAAAAGGATAATTAATAATAATACTATATATTATCATTTAATTAAATTTGGACACGTAAAAAAAAGAACAATGATGGTGACATTAATTGTTATTCTTGCCAATGAAATCAAATAATAAATCAAATAAAGACAGATTTACCGAAAAAACTTTGGCTTACTTAATACAGTAATTAATAATTTATGTGATTAACCAAGCCACTCTTTTCTTGCAATGTTTGTTATACACGGTAAAATAACGTAATACGTAATAAAAATCATAATAGACAATATAATAATAATAATTTTTTATAACGTAATACGTAATAAAACTTATAATAGATAATATAATAATAATTTTTTTTAAAAAAAATGTGACCTACTTTTTTAAATTTCTTGATGATTTGTTCTTTATTCTGTTTTTCCAATACACTTTGAACACATAAAAATATTGCAATGAAACTTGGAGCATAAATTGATTGGTCTAAAGTAACCCTAGTTAATAGAGCTATTCATAGCGTATAAAATAATTTTTAGTAGATCAGAGTATATAGAATGAATATTGATATGAAAATCCAATTAAAAATAAAATAATATGTATATACCGAGAAATGGTTTTTTAAGATCAACATATTTATCAAGAATCCTATACCATGTTGCACCTGCTGGTCCCTGTTAATAAAGTATAAAATATTTTAGAATATTTTAGGACATTTTAGAATATTTAGAATATGTTAGGACATTTTAGAATATTTTAAAATTTAAAGACAGTAAGTTACAACAATTATTTGTGATAATTACTTACAGCAATTAGTGTACCAAAACTGGCAAGTCTCAGGGTCCTTGAAAAATCGTATTCTTTATGTCCTTTTTGTTCTATCAAACCTTGTGCTATAATATCGCCAGTGCTAAATAAAATTCCTATTTTTGAAAATAGTATTAAAAGTTTAGAATGAACGAGAAATATAGTTAGAAGTTTTAATTAATGTCAAAATATACCAGTTGTAATAGCTTGAATGAGAATTGGTCTACGTAACAAATGATATTTATACCAAGAGATAAACGCTGACATTATTGGTTTTTTTTTTCTTTCTATAAAGGAAATAATTTTTATTAATATACCAGTAGTACAAAAAAATATCCTGTTCTCTTTTTATAATATAATTTTCTGCAGATATTTTTTCGATCAGATTAAGAATATTCTTAAAACGTAATTACAGAATTCAAAATAAGATGATTTGTCAGATTAAGTCGATTACTTAACGTTAATCGCGCAATTTGGATGAAAATCAACTTTAAATTATAATCAAATTAGCTTGCATTTTAATCCATTCAGATCTTTAGTCCAACATTAACGTTAGAAATGCGTACGTACGTACGTACGTGCGTATATTACGTATGTGTTGATGTATAAATTGATACGTACATGTTTTGATGTATAAAATGATACGTACATGTTGATGTATAAATTGATACGTACATGTTGATGTATAAACATACACCCATACCAATACCACGATTTGTCACACGTAAAAGTTTTAATTATGAGTCAAATGTTTGTTGCACTTAAATTTTATATTAAAAACTTGAATCAAAAATGCTTCCCGACCATTACTTGAGTTGTTGGATTAATTTTGGGGTAAAGGTTTGCTTATTCCCTAGCATTTGAAGGTTTTTCTCACAAAAATTTTAGGTGTGATTAAAAATAAAATCATTTACGGCGGGATTGTTATTACAGTTAATATAAATGCACCTCATTTAACCAAAAATGGATCAATTTCAGGGGGAATTGTTTTGGCCAAATGAGGTGCGTCACTAATAAACAAATGTCAATCGTAAAAAAATAGTCACACTCGTTATAAGCACATAATATCAAAAACCTATTTATAAGCATATTTATTTAAAAACCAATTATATACGTATAAACATATTAAAAAAAACCTCTTTATAAGCACATCTTGGTAGTTGTCATTTTATTTTTAACCATGCCTAAAATTTTATGAGAAGAACCTTCAAATGCTAGAGAATACGTATGCAACCTTTAAATTAAACTGATTATTTCTTTTTTATTACATAAGACCGGAAAGCATATTTTTCTTAGTGTGACGATCATCTGATCTAAACGTACGTCAATTTACCAAGATTGGCCAATCAGAATGCGCGAGTTGGTGTAACATTAACGCACTGACGTACATACGTGCCAGAATACAATAACAGACAAGTGCAACAATACGTAATTGTACTTTATTATTAAGTAATTAAAAGTGTAACAGTACATTCCTAAAATGAATAATTAGAATCTGGAATAAAAATTTTTTATTTTCCTATTAACGTTAAATGTAGTATCACGTGCGTTCAATTTACACGTATTGCATATTGTAAATTATCACATGTGTTTCAAGATTTTGACTTCTAAATAATACATATCGGTATTATCACATCATCAATATGAGAAATTTCTTCTTTTATAATTCATAGAAAATATAAATTCATTAATTTTCAAACCAAAATTTTAAATAAATAAGTGAATATATGACTAGATAAGTATTCACGTTGCCGTGAGACGGAAGGAATGGTTTATGTATTTTATACGCCACAAAATTGTGAGAAAAAAGAATAAAGGGAAAAGATTAACAAAATATATACAAAACATAAATGTCGTGTTCCTGTATTATTTCGTCACTTATCACTAAACCAGTTAAAAATTTGATTAAGGTTGAATGAACAACCAAATGCAGAACGAAAAGGAATCCGTTTACGTTTTAATTAATAACATTTATTTTATATTTAAAATTCAACTAAATAACCTGTGTAACTACTTATGTTTACGGTGAATGCCATTCCAAGATAATTGAACAACTTCACTTGTCTTATTCCCATGATTTAAAAGTCCTACATCATATTGTTGTTTTTTTGCTTTTAATTTATATTTATTTGCTGTTTTGTTTACAACATTACATACCATTTTTTTGAAAAGGACGTTAATACGTATTTAAAAGTTATGGGATGCTACATTTCAAAAATTTCAAAAAGTAAAAAAAAATCGAGATTTTTTAAATTCTCAAAATTCTCTAAACTTTCTAAATTTTCCACAATTCCCGTTACACATAACAATCTGGCTAATTCAATAAAACTATCTGAGAAGGTTGACATTATTAAAAAAGAACCCGCAAAAATGGATGAAGTTAGTAGATTAAGTTTAAGCAATGAATCGACGACTACTATAGGACGTATGGATGAAGATGATATGAATTTATATCCGTTTCCTGAAAAAGATTATGGTGGTGACAGATTGGCTTTACAACATCATCTATTTAAATATATATGGCGAGGCAACTTTTCCGCTCCTGTTGTTGATAAATTGAAAGCTGGTGCAAAAGTCTTGGATTTTGGGTATTTTATTTATTTATTAATTTATTTTATCTAGCATTATAAGAGATGGGATTATCTTAATTTCGAATTCAAATTTAATTTAAATTTTGAATTTAAATTTCGAACTCAAATTTGTTTAAATTTTGAATTTAATTTAATTTTTTTAATTTAAATTTCGAATCCAAATTTGAATTTGAATATTTAAATTTCGAATTAAAATTAGAATCCTAATCTTTAAATTAAAAACCATACATTATTGTTTTATTAATATATAATTCTTTTTATTCAACTTTTTAATTTAATTAGATGTGGTACTGTCACTTGGCTCCTAGATTTATCATCACAATATCCAAAATCAACCTTTTACGGTGTTGACCAACCTTATTTACTTCGTCATAGTACTCCAATGCTACCGTCAAACGTTACCGTTCAATATTATGATATTTTATCAGGGTTACCATTTGAAGATGAAACTTTCGATTTTATATATATGCGCTTCATGGCTGGTGAATTACCCGAGAAACAAACTGAAAGGATAATAAATGAATTTTTAAGAGTTTTAAAAGTAGGCGGTTATTTGGAGATTATGGATGTTGAAACTCAAGGCAGGAATGAAGGTCCAATAACGCAAAATTTTGTGTCTTCAGGTATTGTTGTCAATAATTTCTATATTTAATAAATAATTCTTTAATGTTAATCTTTAATTAAGTTTAATTAATTTTAATTCTTAATTTAATTTAATAAATATATAGTTCTATCATACTATAAAGCAATTGAAAGAAATCCTCAAATGATAACGAAAATTAATTCATTATTTCGTTCTAATTCACAATTAACTTCCATAACATTCGAAGAAGAATATTGTCCGATCGGTACTTGGTATGGCAACATAGGCGAAATCGCTCTGATAAATTGGACAACATTATTGAATCAGATGAAATATTATTTAATGCCTTTTTTGGGTGCTAACGAGCATAATTACAGAGAAATGATTAATAAATTTGTTGATGAAGTTGATATCTTTCAAACATATTGGGTTAGTTCTAGGGTTAATGCGAAAAAAGTGAGGTAATCGTTTTTAAAATATTGGGTATCATTTTAATTTTTGCATGTTCGGTACGTAATGGTTAAAACAAAAAAAATTCAATTGGTTGTAATATTCAAGTTTTAAACATGTTAATTATGAACTATAAGTAATTTTTATTAAATTTATCAAACGTTGCATTATATCATTCAAAAAAAAGTCGTTATTAAAATTATTAAAATTATGGATTTTTTTTTTTCTTGAAAAAAAAATTTTTTTATGTTTTATTGCAAAAATCAATCTAACCTTTATTTAATTCAAAATGGTGGGTTTCTCCAAATAATTTACTTTAAATCTTTCGTTCAGTATAAATTGTGGTATACCCTAAGGAAGCATAGTTACGGTATTTCATACTAATCAATCTTATTGATTACGATCTGAAAATCGTATAAATTACTATGCTTTCTTAAGATTTTATCAGTTTTTATACTGAACGTACGAATATACTGTTAACTATCATAATCATAAGGTTTGTTATAAAAAGATTCTTTATGAGTTTAACGAATTATTCATTCTCTGAATAATTAATTCGAAAGTTTGTTCGTTTTATGGATTACGGAAAGTTGGCGACTTTTTTTTTTTTTTGTTTTTTAAAAAAAAAAAAAACGGAACTAGTATTACATATATACCCGTTCTAGATCGAGATTAAGATGTAATTTTATCGTTATCGGATGGATTGTAACACATTAATCGATCACTATTATACGTATACCAAATAATACTAAGGCATTTCCTGCACGATAATGTATTATGACAAGATCAATCAAAGTCCTAAAGAATATTTCCGAGCGCCATTGATATTTTTATATCGCAATTCTTTGTATTTACTGTATACATTTTGACCCTCCAATATTCCGAATATTCCCACACTAACTACTTTGTCTTTCACATGTAAACTTCGGTTTGAATTATCACATCGCTTCTAGTTTACTTCTGATTTAAAAATTAACCATTGTTGAAACTTGTAATGAAATCATCTTTATGTCTTCCTTATTATCTTTATTATCATCATGTCTGAAGCAATTTTTATCGCTTATATTATAGACAATAACTGGGATGTAATGCGAAACACGTGCCACGAAGCGGCACGTGTTCCGCGTTATCTTTCAATTGCCTATTAACTTGTTGGTTTCTTTATTTAACAGATCAAAGATTAGTTGTATTCGAAGGCTACTCTCGGTACATTTTGTTTTTCGTTAATAATCATCAGTCGTCTCGCGCTCTAATATATTTCCCGAACTTTCTTCACCATCAAGTGCTTTCTTATAATTACAAATAACACTTTTTCATAATTCTCGCCAATAACATCTTCCTTCTAAATATCTATTTAGACGTTACTAAACACATCATATCATTTAAAAGTTTATTTGATCTATATTTTTATTTGTGTAACGAAAGGTACGTGCAGTGGATCTACATTATCATCAAAAGTACAGAAGTAATAAGTATGTTTGAGATTGGATTTGGATTAATAATTTGTTAGCAAGTATAAATAAAGATTAATAAAGAATTAGTTCTCTTTAGGGATGTTAATAATCTGGTCTCTCGTATTATTTGACATTTTATCGTTATAATTGATTATTAATCAAATACTATATATAGATATCTAATTTTAATACGTATTTAAGATTTGGTAACTATGTAATTTAAACGCGTAAATCACCGGAGTCAAGGCATGAATATAAACCGTTGCACTTCTAACGATTGTAATAGTTTGACTCTTTATTGTTATCTGGCATGATTTGACGGATACATGAGTATCGGCAGGATAATAGCAAAAGTACTTGGTAGAAGGCCTCGTGCGTTGCAATTATACTGTCGATGTCCATGATCCGTATGCTAGATAACTAGTTTATCTGGCAGGTATGACTAGGGATGGGAAAATCGAGGATTTTTCGAATCTACTGCGCAGGCTGCGCAGCCTGCACGGGCCTGCATTACAGCTAATGCGGGCCAAAATTGTTAAATTCTGCGTTATTACGAAAAATTCCGGGCTTCCGAAAAATTCCGCCTGCGCAGTGTCCCATCCCTAGGTATGACGTATACACTTACGGAAAGAATTTTATATTACTTCCGCAGATTTTTATATTAAAATTAATAAGAATTTTTCACATGATTTTAATAAAGATTTGCGGAAATAATGTGAAATTTTTTCCGTCAGTGTTTACATGTATTTTTTGGAAATTGAACTTAAATGATTGGTCATTGAAAATTTTAAGTTAAATAGTCGGCCAGTCAGGTCGGCCAATTTTAAAGATATATTCGACTCTCAATACAACGAATTCAAAATTTTGAAATTACATTATAGTTTGGTATAAAAAAAATTATCATTGAATTCTCAAGTAAATATTACGATTTTTTATAACGAACTTTGTTTTCACTAGTTTATTATATAATAGAAAGAGTTAATGTTTTACAATCACAAGTATTAAGTATTGATTGAAGTGATCAAACAATTATTCTTTAATACAAGTAAACAAACCTATACTTTAGTAAATTTAATAATTATTTATCAAGGATGTATGTATCTTTTATTTAGGATTTAGTGTTGTTAATAATAGAGTTGATGTGGATTTTAGTTTATATTATGGATTTAAATGGGAACCCCATCAGCTGTCACAATAAATATAGGTAAACTTTAGTATTTGGTAAAATTGTATTATTTCATAAGTATTGATTTTAACTATATAACAAAGGTTATTAAAAAAAGATTTATAAAATTAAATTAAATTAAAAAAAAAATACTTTATTTTCAGCAAAATCACTTTCATATACGTAATGGTAATATTGATTTCTTTAGATAACCGATAAACTAATTTGTAAATGTAAAAAAAATGCTTACGTATTAGTATCAACGTTAGTGTTAGTATAAACTTTACAAATACAAATCGAAATACTTACTTGTTTATGGGTATAAATTTCCAAATACAAATACTTGTTTATAAGTACTTGTTTATAAGTGTAAAAAAAAACAATATTACAAGAATGGTATCGCTAGTAACCTTTTAATATAAAATTAAATTTCATTAATTAGCCAATCATATTTAATCTGATCATCATGTTCCTACGTACGTACGATATCGATATCGATATTGTTAAAATCCTTATTAAGCATACATCCTTATTAATACATCCTTATTAAGCATTATTAAGGCATGACCAGATAAAATGTTTTTTAATTGGAGAAATACTTTCAAACTCAGTTCTATCATCCAGATTTTTAAATAACATGAGTGTACATCCCGTCCCTCCTTTGGGAATACCTACTACTTTGACAGCGATCACTGGAAAGAGGGTTAAGCCCATTGAAACGTGTGATAATTGCAAGACACGTAAAGTAAAGTGTGACAAAGAGCGTCCTCAGTGTGGTACCTGTCGTAAATCTAAACGAGAATGTAAATATGAGCTCTCTGAATCATCAAAGCGTGGTCGACCGAAAAACGAAGTTGAAATTTTACAAGAGCAGATCGAGGACATTCAAAATATACAGTATCACCAGTTGAATCAAGTGGAATCTCTACTAAAAATGGCTGTATTACCTGGTGCTCAAGAAACAATTTCTATGGGTGGTGATAATAATGCTCTAGGAATGAATTTTATGATGCCAAATAATTCTGATCAAATTAATGGAAATTTTTCTACCGATGAAGTATATGTAAGTTTACAGTTTTTTGTAAATTGAATGATGAAAATTTTTATGAATGTGAAATGAAATGATTTAATTTTGATTGTAGGGGTGGAACAATTTTTATCCTCCTTTAACAAGAGAAGAAAGTCCTCCGCCAAGTTTAAATCTGGATCTTTCAGGGGATACCTTGATGTTTTTTACGGAATTTAAACCAACAAAATCCGATTTACCAACTCAGGTTTGTTACAATGAAATTCAAATATTTTCTTCAAGCATCAGATTAATGCTAAAAAAAAAGACTCTTTTTCAATAAAAGGACATTCCAGATACTATCCCAATTACATATGATGCTGACATCGCCCATCAATCAGAAGATCCTGTAGATCAACTTGCTGCAAAATTTAAATCTTCCTTATATGTTGGCCCTTCATCTTTATTAACGTTAAATGATGACGGAGAAGAACAACTCATACCTCAAAATGATTTTTCCGATTTATCATTAGTTGAAGATCAACTAAAAGTTTTACCAGTTCCTGAAATTGCAGAAAGTTTGATTGATGTCTACTATCAGGTAATCGAAACTTTCATTTTTATTTTGATTTAACTTGTTTTATGATGTTAACTTATCTATTATGTATAATATAGACAGCGTATCGACACTATCCACATTTAAAGAAAAAAGTTGTACTTGACTGTTTTAAAGAATTATCGAGGCCACAACATTTCCTTTTACTCAATAGTGTGTTTTTCGCAGCTTCTCCATTTCATCCTGACACGAATTTACGTGATAGAGAGACTTATCACCAGGCATGAAACTAAAAAATTTTGCTCATAATACATATATATGTTATATAACTTTATTGATCATATTGTTAACTATAATACAGAGAGCATTAGGTAAACTTAGAATCAAATGAATATTTATATTCTAAACAAGAATTACAATTTAAGAATTTATAATTAAGAACTTAAATATTATCTCTTTCGTTAAAAAAAAATTAGCATTATTACAAACCCATTGTCTTAAAACTCCACACGTCTTAACTGTTATTAGTTTGTTCATACTTGGACTTCACGTTAGAAAGGTAATTAAAATTAAATACCTTTTTTATTATTGTTCTTTTTCAACAAATTGACTTTAAATAATTTGTAGACAGGAATTGTATGGATATATAATGGAATTGTATCCAAAATGCTATTCGAATTAGGATTGCATCGTAAAGTCAAGAGTGATCAGATTAGTGACGAAGTTAAAGAAATGAGAGATATGGCATTTTGGGGTTTCTTGGCTTCTGAAACGTGAATTTTTTACTTTACATTTTTGAGATAATCTTTTTTTTTTTTGGTTTACAAATTAATCAATAATTTTTTATTTCAGTTGGCTTTCAGCTTGTTATGGTCGTCCAAGTGCTATAGATGAGTCCACATGTGACGTTGATCTCCTTCCAATACCATCAGATCCAAATCCAGATGAAGAAACTCGATTGCATATAGCTTGGATCTTACATATTAATTTGTTACGCATTTTTGCTCAAGTGAGTCAATTATGGATTTTCAATTACTTTATTAACAGTTACTTTCAGTTACTCAAAAGAATATATGTATTTTCTAGGTTCGTAAGTATTTACATGGTTGGACAAAAATTGCTGGCAGTAGTCGGGAGGAAAATCAATTTCGTTTTTTAGATGCAACGTTAGGGAAGTGGTTTTATACTTTACCACATTGGCTAAAATTTGAGGAAATGGCACAAGATCCAAAAGGAAGTTTCTTAGGCGCAATAGGAGGTGATCTAGAAATATTATTTTTAATCTTTTTCATTTTTTTTATCGCCTTTTTAAGACTTTCTTTTTTAACTATTTTCTTTAATAGGGGAAATGCATACTCTTTTCTGGATTGTACTTATTCTTCTTCATAGTCGAAATCTTACCATGTTCACTTCGGATCATTCGTTGGATGATTCAAAATTGCCTTCTCAAACTATTTGTGTTCATGCTGCAATAATTCTTCTTCATTGTCTTGATGTGCTTATGAATACTGTACCAAATTTTTATGAACAATCTTGTACTGCTCTTTTTGCGTTTGCACCTGCCATACGTGTGTTATCATGGACTGCTAAATGTGGTGATTCTAAAGCAAAACATATGGTACAAAGGTTAAATGAGATTAAAAAAGAAGTTGCTGTTATTGCAAGGCAAAGATTTGTTGATCAAACCACAGGTGAAGGTAGATTAGATGGTGAAGAAAAATTAAAAGGAAGTTTATCCAAATTTAAGGCGTACGAAGAACAAGCGACGCTTGATTCTGAAAAACAAAAAGATACTTATATAAAATATCGAAAATCCCCTATACCTACGTGGGGTGATGATACAAATGACTTCCAATTTACTTTCAATTTACCTGATAATTTTAATAATTCTCAATATTTATCACCACAAAGTTCTATTGGTGGTGATCAACAAAATTATCAACAATCGACTATTGACAATTTAACTACTTCAAATACTTTTTATGATTCTATTTCATCTCAAAACGCTTCCACTTCCATTTTTACAAATCTTTCAGTACCGCAAAATCCTGATTTATCTTATAATCAACAAACTCATATGCCCATTTTTGGTAATAATGACTTTAATTTTTAACAATGATAATTTTTACTAAATTAAACGGTTTACAAATCATATAATAAATCATTTTTTGTATGTTTTTCTAAAAAAAAAGTTTTTTTTTTAAAACATCGATAGTTGATGCTGAAATTTGGCTGAAGCTAAAATTATTTAATATGTTTTGTTAACTTCAGTCAAGTTCCAGCATAATCCGTGACATGTACTGTATTTCTTTAGATTGGAACAGACAACAACGTTAAAAAAAAAAGTGTATAGTATCATAATCTCGTCTTTATACATTTTTACACATAAAATATTATGAATTAATATTAGAAATTCATCAAATTTTCATATATTCTTCCCTTTTTTTTTTCTGACACCAGATAATTATTATATATCGTTAAATGTTTAATCGAATTTCATTCAAAGGTTTTTCATAAGACATAATATTCATCATGATGTATTAAAAAAAAATTTTTAAATTAAAAATCAAATCGATCATGATTTTTAAAAGATTGCGTTTTTTATATACATACTGATACTGAATGAATGAATTAAACTTTATTGTTTCTATAATAAAAAGTTTTATATCGCATATGAGAATTTAACATCAAGAAATAAAGATAGATAGTCCAAGATTGTTATTTGTGATTAGTTCAACATTGAAGAGCAATCACTAAGTTGTTTTTATGTAGATTTATGTAAAATTTTTATGTAGAATTATGTAAAATTTTATACAGCTTTACAAATTTATATATATTTCTATATAGAATCATATAAAATAGCAAAAAATTTTCTAACTTAAATATTAAAGTTAGGATTGGATTTTAAAAGTTTAAATTAAAGAGTTTGGGGAAACATTTTTATTTAGTGCACGATCGGTGATTACCTTACGTAGTCACTTTTGAGAAATAGTTGGAAATAAATTAAATAATTTCTATATAGATATAAATAAAAATTTATATCGATATGGATTTTTATTTATATAACTAGGCGCTTGAGTTGCTTAAAGGGAGTTAGAAATGATTGCACTGTATCGATTGAATTAGTGCACATTAAGTATCAGATTTAATTTAGTTTGACGCAGTTTTTCTTGCGTATTTCCGAATAAATATTTATGCATCTATATTTATATTAACGGGTCTTGAAAAAGTACAATTGCTTACTAAATTGAAGCCCTTTGATTATTATCGTTAGAGTACTGATTCATTATCCATTTATTCATTTATCTATCGGATTGATATCCGGATAATTATCCGAATATTTGCCGGATTATCTGGATATCAATAGTAAATGGATATCCGGATAAATTCAGATACGGATAAATGGATGGCGGTTGGAACTCTAGTAAATATAATACACAAATTAGTAGATATATTGTTAAATATGTTTAACATTGTTTTGCCCATTATTGTTATAAACATTTGTAATTTATTGATTAAAGTACATACATTCACTTCAGTAATTTGTGATTTATTATAGTTTTCTCTTATTCAGGTAGATTTAATCAGTGAGTTTAAGATTATTTATTATATTACAGATAATTTATTGGTTAAAATTTTGTTACTTAGAGAATAGATTCAAGTTCATTTTTTTTAATTTAATATAAATAAAACTGGTTTAGAATGTTATGATTACCAGATTTAATTACATAGTTGGTTTCAAATTTAAATGTTAGTTATCAAATTGGATGTTAGTTATCAAATTGGATGTCAATAAATCAAACTTTATTATAATGCTAATGTGGTTAACTTAATAATCTACTTTATTGAATGTATTCTTTTATTTAATAAAAAGTATTAGTAAGTTATTTATTGATGTTTTGATTTTTTTTCAGATTATTTTTATTAAAGATTATTGCTTGCTTTAAAGGTATTATAAGTTATGAAAATTTTATAAGATATTATAAGATAGTTTTAGCTTTTTTGTTATAACAGTAATTATACAAATTTATTTATTACTATGAGGCAAACAATCGATTAACATTAAATACTAACATGTTGAAATTATATATGCAGAAGTTACATGTTGTTGAATATTAATAAGTGCATGAATTTCATGATTGTCAATGTAGAGTGAGTAGTTATTATTTTTTTTTAATGATTTAACATGAGAAATGTTAATAGAAGTTTGAAAAATTAGTATAGGTAAGTTAGTAGGAACTAGGGATATTAACTCAGAAGAGATGTTATGAAAGGAGAAGAAGTTAAGTAAATTTTTTGTAAAGAGGATTTGTGAGTTATTAAAAACAATAAACTATTTATTTAATAATAATAAGTGATAAGGAGTGATTGTATTAAAGGAATTGATAAAGGTATTAATATTTGGTAAGTTGAGATGTGGCTATGTTTGAGAAATTGTATTGTTTTGAATAAGATTAGAAAGTTTAGTAAACCAAGATGAGGTAGGTCCATGAGTAGATTTCTTGGTACATATATATATATTATTTTATAAAAGAATATATAAGTTATCAGCTGTTGTAAGTTGATTAATAAAGAGTATTTTATTGTTTCAAAGACTGTTAATTAGTGAGTAAGAATTATTAAATGGAA